CGATTATTCATGTCTAAAATCGCGTATGATGTTCATACTTAGATGGGAGACTAATTGCTGCCCTCACAGGAGCATCAAAATTCTTGACTTTTTCGAACACAGGTATTATGGGAATTTTCCCATCGGAACCGAGTTAATCTGACTTCCTGTGGGCGGTCGACATAGATAGAAGCACGAGTGATAGAATGTCGCCTGCACGTGGAGGCACTGACTGTGCGAGAAATGGAACCCGGATACTTCCGGCTATTCGTGACCGAAATTGAGGGATGGCTGGTGGACGTTATTATATACAGGGTATTATATACCGGACATTAAATTGGGATTTCTTACGCCCCGCAATGCGAGGACCTTTTCTCTCCCTTGCCTCCTCCCCGACTGCCACAGCTCTTGCAACCACAATTTTCCGTCTCTGTGAAAGTACCCTTGATTTCCTTTGATTTTTTGTAAGCAATCGTTTTCACACACGACGCCGTATTGAGGGGGGGGGGGGGGGGGGGGGGGAAGGGACGTGAGGAACCACAACTCCAATGAACCGGTCGACTGGCGTTTAATTCGCTCTTACAGGAGAAGTCAAGTGTGAAACGACACGAACGGTAGAGAGAATAGACATTACATGTGGACTGCAGGAAACGGTAACCTTAACGGACGCATCACGTCTTCTCCAGCGCTCTCCACAGAAGCAGATTGGCACATGGAGATCACCGTGCATCTATCGAATCAGATGAACCTTTTTCCCGTGTTATTGCGCAGGCAGAACGATATAGGGATGCACAGGTGGAAGAAAAGTATATTCTTACAAACTTGGTAGAATTACGTGAAACGCCCTGTAAATAATTATTTTGATAATAAAAAATTATTTAAATACCAGAGAAAAATTACTCGGTCTGTTGCGTGTTTCTGGAAAACAGGAACTTTTCAGTTACTGATCTCTCCTTGTTTATAAAAGGAATGACGAGGAATGACCACTGGAATAGGCACCAGCCGGGCAGTGCAGTTCCATGTCATTGGCGTGAGCCCGATGCGTTCACCCATCTCAGCCTCTGCCTTTTCATTTAGTTACTTACACCGCCGATCAATTTTTTATTATTATTTAATTAAACCGTTTTTGTTCTTGTAGACTACAAGTATAACCAAATTCCAATCCTGGAGTTTGACCACGATCCTAACCCATGGAGATTTAAAAAAAAAAAGGGAAGGGGAAAAAAAAACTTGTAAGCCATACGATCCGACCCAAGACGGGATCTCTGAATTTCAGGTCCGAAACGGCTCTTGGGTGTCGCCGATCGGGTCAGCCACCATCTCCAGCAGACCTCTAACCGATAATTACATATCATTGTGGTAATGATGACACGGATGCCTTTCGCTGCAGAGTGCGGTTTACTATGGCATGCAAAAACTAGATCTTGAACATTATTCTTAGTTTAAAAAAAAATAATTGGTTCTGTTGGAATCGTAATAGCGACGGATTCGCGGAGGCTCTGACCAAGCACCATGCTAAGAATCACCGAGTGGTTTCCCCACTTTTCAGTTTCGCTTCGAAGAAGGTTCTTCGAACATCGATTATGCTGATGGTATCTCCCTCGCTCGTGAATGTATGGAATAAATAACCGGTCTTCGACTGCCATACACGATGGCAGGAAGCAAAAGAGCGTCTCGGTGGAAAAGGAAACGGATATCGATCCTAAATTCGATCCTAGATCCTAGATCCTAGATCCTAGATCATATCTCTGTGGCCGAGAAGTTGGAACGGCTGTAGACTGTGACCACGAATGACTACGAAAACCTCTCAAAACCTACAATATATTTTCTGCAACGTGCTATTTCATGGACCACGAGGAAGAAACGCACGGAAGCGAATCCACTTAAGCTGCTTAAGCTTATCTATTTCCTTCTGGTTCGGAAAGGGGTCCGTCGGCTTGACAGCTATTTGGCACTTGAAAATCAAGCATCAGCAACATTATTTTCCTCATTTTGGGGTAAAAAAGTTTAGAATTTTCGATGCCGATGGAATTGCCATTTTTAAGTGTTTCCGATTCCTAGGAGCTCAGGATGCATTGAAAGTCTTTAAATATGGATCCCAGATGCAAATTCCCGAGGTTCACTTGCAAGTTCGCAATTTCAATGGACTTCATTATTTGGAGACATCTGGTGGCCGGAATCTGGAACGAAAACGGGGAGAAGGGGGAGGGGGAGGGGGCGAGGGCGGGGGGGGGGGTAATCCAGTCGCTCAGTCCTGCATTGGGTCCTATAAAGTTTTTACAGACATTACAGGGCCCTCTGATGACTTACATGGTCTTCAGGCCATAAAAATAGTGTCATGGGAACAAAAACTTTTTTTTTTTTAATTCTAGGCTGTGTTGGAGCTGAGTCATGAATTATTTTCTCTGAGCTTATCATAGATTTGGCCAGGCACTTCTCACCATTCAGTCGACATCGATGACAGAGATCGCTTTTTCCCCCCCGATGCATATTTTAAGCAAAATTCACACGATACATCGGTACGTTCCCATGGACTCAGAGGCCACGATAAGAACGAGCGACTCCGCGATCTCCTTTTCCCGCCGAGAATAGACCGTGACCCACTTTTCGCAAGGCGTGCAAACACTCGCGGGAATACACAGATCGCGACCCTCGTATCGATATGGGGCGTCTGTAAAATTAGGTCGATCTGAGATGCACTGAAAAAAAAAATTATATCCTGTCAGCAGGTCATATTTCCCCCCCCCCCCTTTAAACAGCGCCTGTCAACACGGCGCATCTAAGAAGCAACTGACAAGATGATGGAACACATTCCTGCATCTTACTCAGACTCTCTTTCGATCTTCATAATTATATAAGGAAGCCCAACCGACTTAAAATTCCAGCCGAAAACGCATTTAATTTCAAGACGTGCCACAGCTAGAAAATTAATCCGAGCCAGCTTCCACCTCGAATTTTCCTGTCGGACTGCAAATGATTTCCTCATATTTTTCGTGCAGTCTTGTTCAAGTTGATCCCCGGTTAAAGAACCCGGTAGGAATTTTCCGGCTGGGAACAGACTGCTAAAGCAACCGCAATCCAGTTGAAATTCAGCCTGGAAATCGAGTGCTCTCGGTTTTGAGTCAAAGGCTGAAAAAATGCTCTTTCTTGACTTGAAAGTTATTTTTGAAACAAAAAAACATTTACGGGTGTGTGATGAAAAGTGCATCACAGTATTCATCTGGTACACATAATCAATTCCAGTCTGTGGCAGAAATTTTCTGCTATTATTCTGCCTTTATAACGACTGCATTTTTTTTTACATTTAGGAATACGTAGTTTGACCTCATGGGATCCCATGAACAATTAAAACCAGGATGAAACGAATAAATGACTCATGGGTGAAGAGGATACCAAGTACCAAGTACCCAGTACACAGTACCATGCACCAAGTACCCAATACCAAGTACCAAGTGACAAATACCAGAAGGAGTGATGGTGATCCCTGACTCGAATAGGGAGTAAAAAAAAAAAAAAAAGATCCCCAGCTTCCTTTATTTCCAGTGCCTTTTCCATCAGCTACAATCCATCGTGGGTGGAGCTCGTGAGCCAGGAGACTTTTTTTTTTTTAACCAGTCACAAGCCGTTGTAAATAAATGATATTGTGTTCATCTGGTCTGACGTGTCGTATTATATGTAGATTTGGGAATGATTCGATTGAAAGGACGCCGACGTGAAGGGTCCCTACAGACTTTAAACTGAGTTTTGTCATTCGGGCATGAGACTCGCAATTCGAGCAGGGACACACAAGAGGGAAAAATCATGTGAAAATTTATCAATATCTGGGTCTGAGGTGACGTAGATGGTAAAGAGGAATAATCCGAAGTTTCACTCATTTCCTCGCAAAAAAAAGGCAGTTAGAAAAGATTGAAAATGCGGTTGACGAGTTGCCGCGGTCTCCTTTCGTTCGGTTATCACCTGGACAGCGACTCACACGCATGGTTGCAATCGGAATCACTTAAGTTTGGCTTCTACATGAACGCAACAGCAAAGGCGGAGATTTATTGGTGGGCTCGGGGGGGGGGGGGGGGGGGGGGGGTCCCCTCTAAAAAATTTGGGGGGGGGGGGGGGGGGGGGGGGGGGGGGGGGGCGGAGCTTCCCCTCTAAAAAATTCCAAGGGCAGGGGGTTGAAGCATTTCCGGCATTTTTCACTTATCTGTTCAAATGCGATGAGGGGGAATGTTTTTGCATGTTTTCAAGGTGAACTGAGGAATTCAGAGCTCATTGGTGCGCCTTTTCCAATCTTATTAGGAGAATGGGATATTTACCTTTTTCCTAGGGGTGGAAATCTACAGGTCAGAGAGAAACAGTCCTTGAGACTCCCCCCTCCCCCCGTCATACCCCAATTTGAATATATATTTATACATCGTCACTTATGAGTACAGTTTCCTTTCGATTTCCAGATGAAACGAACCTAATAATGATTTCAGCACCATCAAGCGCCTGTTTGGAGATATATGTATCCCCTCCATAATTACACGTCTCCATGTCTTCCGAATTGAAACTTCTAATACACAGTCCCTCGGGCTATTTTTCCTTCTTATATTTCTCTGATTGCCAATAAATTGCATTAAACAACGGCCAAAACATCATCGAATACCATCATAACGCATCTGTTATCCTATAAGCTCTCGAACTTGACTGAATTATTTATGAACGAGTCCAATACTTTACTCGATTAAAACTAATTTGCGACCTAGATTGAGAACTTTAACGATTCAGCCTCTATTCGACAAAACTCGGACCATGCAGTTGACAACCTTCAACCATTATAAAAAGTTAATCATAAAACAGGAAAGAGGATGAGGCAATCGGAAGAGGAATTTTCAAGGTAGGGCAGATTTATTTCCGGGAAGATCTGACACCGGCCACTCCTTGAGTCGGCCGGTTCTTTTTCTTCCCGGCATCGTCTCGTTCTACCGTAATGATCTACGAGGGACTTGTCCTTGAGAGAGACTGGAACGTGCCCAAGGGTCGGCCTCATGAAATATTTATTAACTCTGAGGGATCGAGATGTCATCCAGTCAGTCCTGGTGAGTCTCTCCCTCGCCGTGCACGCGAAGATGAACGCTTTCCTCCTCCTTCTACCCTTCTTTTTCGCCACCCTCCATGTTTCCCACTCTGGCGTGTTTTTCCCCGATGAGGAAGTCTCGCCGAAGACCGACGGTAAGTCCGATTCCTCAGATCTAGTTACGAAGAAATTGATCGGTGACTCAGTGAGTCCTTTCCATCGCAGAGGTCAATCAGCCGACGCCGCTGAAGGTCGTTGCTAAGGAAAAGACGACGACGACGACCGCACCGCCCAAGATCGTTACAACAGAAAAGACGACAACGAACGCACCACCTAAGACCACGGAAAAGACAACGACGAACGCGGACGAAGGAGGAAAGAAACCCCCGGTGGTAACGATCGATATCCCATCGTGTCCCTGTCCAGAAACCAACTGCACGTGCGAGGAATCACCCAACAACAGCATCGACAGCAGAAACATCATCGGGACGTGTCAGGGCTCGAATCGACACTGTTACGAACCTTTGGAAGTGGGACCTTGTCCCGAGGGGTATCGACTGGAATTGACCGAAGTCCAACAGAATAATACGGAAAATAACACGACGGAGACTGTCGTGTTATTGAAATGCAAAATTCCGTCGTGCCCAGAAGCTGACTTCGTCCAATGGGGCAATGGGACATGCGTGGAAAAGGTATCCAAGGAACTCTGCCCAGAGGGTTGGTACCCCGCTGAGAATTCATATGGGGTTGCCGAATGCGAATGCGATTTGAACCGAGTCTATTGGCCCGGCGACAAGCAATGCCATGAACTCTACAAGCAGGGACCCTGCGAAAAAGGTAGAATTCTTCATATGTGATATGAAGTTACATGCTATTTTGTCTCCTGCCAGATTTATGATATTCCTTCTCGAACAGGGAAGGCGCTGGTCGTGAATGGAATCACAAATACGATCGAGTGTCAAGAAACTATCTGCAAGGATGGAGAAGCGATATGGCCTCAGGATCAACAGTGTTATACACTTTGTGGGTTCCTTCTTCCCCCTTTCTTAGTCGTATTTGTGTCTTGCAGACCTGTTCACGCTGTGTTTGTGCAGTGACCCCGGGACCATGTGATGGCGGGACATTCGAGCTGGACGAAGACACGTTTCAGCCGAAATGCGGAAATGCCACAACAGAGTACCAAGTCATCACGGCCAAAGACAAACCTTGTCGGGCTGGTTCCTTCCGCGACCATTTGGTTAGTTCCCCGCCACCCTTTTCTTCCTTCCCCTGAAGTTTTGCTTTCATGATAAGGGTAGGGTAGGTGAGACAAATTCCGGCACTTCCATAAAGTCCGTCCCTTGCAGCGCATAATTGAAAATAACAAGAAATCCAATCAGCCTTTCACATTACAATGTCCAGTCTCAAAAGGTGAATGGACAGTGCGTACATCTCTCGAATGATAGAGTTCCCGAAACCATAAATTTCAAAATTCAGGCGACGGGGACGGATTTTAACACATTCAGTCCTGGGTACTAAATCAGCACGCTACCCCTGCAGCCCGGTCATTTTCCCACAAATATTACATATTTGCACTTCATTGAGGCATAACTTTCAAACTACTGGATATATCATGTTCAAATTTTCACCAGAAGTGAGTCTGTACCTCTAATAGTCCATTTTGGTGTGATATCTGGCGAAGCAGTCCCTCTTATGCAAGCAAGAACGCGACGTTTGCTATACCGGAGATTTCCGGTTACGGGACGGAATGTGTCAAGTTGAAGGGGGTCGGCATTTGCCTCACTTATCGTACTTAAATCCTGTCTCGGTCTTGCTTCTTGAACCCAAGCCCTCAATTAAACAGTGATGAACACGTTCTCTTTCATCTTAGGGAGAATGTACAGCTGGACTCCAGTGGGGTGCGTGATCCATGGCATTCGGAAAGGTTCTACACAAAAATGTATGGAACTTCAAAAAAATGTTTATTTTGTCAAGAAGGGAAACTTTTCACCAGTCTTCTGTGGTTTCATTATCATCAAATTCAATAGTCAATTCACTGCAGATGGCATCTCAAAATCTCGTAGCATGGAAGAACGTTCACTTCAAGTCATACTAAAAACAAACAAAAAACAATGCTGCATGAAGTCAGGGGAGTCAAGGGCAAAGGATCACAGAAGAGGGGCAAATACAGCCACCATGGACGGAGAACAGTTCCTTTCTGGCACCTCATATTTAAATAAATGGACAAAGGGGAGCTGGGGATGCGACTTTTTGAAAAACGAGAGAAATAATGTGTACAGGATATGGCTCATCAGCATTTCCGATGCCAGTTATGATTGTTTCAAGCAGTACTCTTTGGACTCCTCTGGCTAAAAAAAAAAAAAAATTCATGTAACAAAAAAAAACCTTCATGTCAAGCACAACTATCTTCTCCTGAAAATGGACACACTTGCAGGGAAGCAGGAGTCAATCTCAAAGTCTATCACAGATACGCACAACTCAAAGGCAAAACAGGAAAATGGATCACATGGAAGAAGAGGAGGGGATGAGAGGTAAAAGTTAAATATAATGGGCACAGATCGAGGCGGTGTTCTCAAATGAGACGAGATCCTTGTAGGTACTGAACCAGGACCTGATAGATGAACTTGTACTGAGAGATGGTTTGAACCATCAGCATCCGCTGTTGACGCACATGATACAGCAGCTTGGGGAGCTCAATCGGCTGGAAACACGAATCAACAATGACAGGAATGGATGGACAGAGACTTTGCTGGAAAGAAGTAAAAGCACACCTGATTGTGATCGAGGCAGTAAAGAAGAATGTCGCAGAGGATGGTAACACCAGTCCGACCAACCCCAGCTGAACAATGAACCAACACAGGGACATTCTTGTTGCAGCTGGCTGGGATCTCATTCTGTGACTGACGTCTCAGAGAATCCATCTCTTCAAGGAAGTCTAGAGAATAAATTCAAAGATAAATGAAAGCTAAATGCTAAAGTCTGGTAATAGTTCAAAAAGTTTCCAGAAAAACTGATTAAAGTTAGGAAGGTGGGCTAAATTTCACTTTGCTGATCACATCAATGAAAGTCTCAAACCTAATTCTATCACAAATGAAACTTTCACTTTGATAAGATTTAGTTTCCTCTCAATGAACTCTTTCTTTTTGCAGGATTTGTACCAACATTAGATAAGGATGATTATGACTTTTGAACAGCATTCAAAAAACCTTTTGTATCTGATACCTCTTGCATATCAAGAATGTTTAGGTCAATGCTTCAATTGATCTACAAAGAATACCCACAGTGCTAAAGAGTTCTCCAGGGTTCACCCATCATTTCTTCAAAGTTGCTCTCTCCACCAAACTACCATAAGTTTCACCAGTAGTCAATTAAGGCAACTGATCTGTCAGTTGCACCAAAGAGTACCAAGATAGCACTCCTTAGTCTTCCTTCTTTTATGGAGTTGCATACAGAAATGAAAGATAAGCAGAGATCCCCATGAACCTTCCAAAGTTGTGTATATACAGTTGCTTCCCATTTTATGATGTGCTTATGTTTGAAAATGGCAGTTTCTCATTTCTTTTTGGAGACAAGAGCTTTTCAAGAGAAAGGAAACCACTGAGAGGAAGCAATAAAACTTATTAGTCTGAAAATTTGTCTCGAGATAGCAGTTTGAAAGACAAACTAGCTAACCTTCTATAACTAATAATAATGAATGATCTTGGATTATTATCCACAATGGAGAATAACTCACTGACAAAACCCTGAACATCTTCAGGGCAGCCATGATCTGCCCAATCGGTGTATTGAAGGTGCCAGATGCAGCGCTGCTTCTTGCTCCCACCATGACTCACCTGGAGCCGACTGGTTACATAGCTGCTTGATTGGCTACTACACTGCCGGTGAATTACATACTTGGAAAAAGAACACAAAAAAGTAGAGGATAGCACATCCAAGATTGACACACATTCTCCCAAAATTTGAATGTCATCAAAAGGAGAAAATGCCTCACCTCCCCAATTTCAATGGTGGCCTTGTCATTTTGAGGCCAGTATGGGATACAAGACGAGGACTGGACACTTGTAAGCATGACCACAAGGTGGACATTTTGCTCCCATATCATTTGCCAAAAAGAATTCACTGTAGATGAAAGTGGACCCTGGGCAGCAATGTAAAACCTCGTTTGCCGATCCACTGTGATCTGGATGGAAATTCCCAGGATTTTAGCTATTTGCTTCCATGGACTTAGCACAACTTTTGAAGGAATGTGATCAGGATTTTAGGACATCAGACTGACCGTTATTGGAGAAGCATTTATATATCCAGTCTTGTTGTCCTTGTTAGGTGTCAAATGCACACGATTTTCTTCATAGGGCAGAACATCTTTGAATCTGGAAGAGATGAGTTAAACACATCAAAACAAATTCTCTAGTTTCACTGAGTTCAAACATCATTTGAAGCTGGAGTTTTAAAACATTCACATGTAAAACAATAATGCACCTATTTTTGGATATGTTGGCTGGCGAAAGTGCAGTGGGAAATTCACAATTCATACGTTTCTTGGGGATGCCTTCAAACTCTTGCAAAACTTCCCCACTTGTGATCCTCTCCTGCAGGATTCTGATCTGTTGCATACAAAACCGATGCATTTTACTTCTCTGAGCATTTAAGGATACAGAGTTTTAGAATAAACCTGGGATTAAAAAAGATATCATTACTTTGTTTTCCTTGGAACCATCAACAAGGCCGAGACAAGGAAACACTGGAATTGGTTCCAAGGAACCTTGGGAAGGAGTTGGGGAGTGAAAGACCCCTTTGGCTTTCCCTAGCTTTGATTTAGCTAAAGCCAATGGTGAGGATGATGTAGAAGAACTCTTGGATGCTCCTTGTAGGGACCCACTTGATGAATTGCTATCAGAATCCTTCTTATTCATGCCACCTGGAAGGGCCCATTTCTTCCAGCCCCGACCCTTTTGAAGCTGTTGACTCTTGTCACTGGAATTGGATTGAACTACTCCATCCTCTTGGATTTCACTGTCAGTTTTGCCTCCTTGATCCAATGAAGAGATCATAAGAGCATGGGTCAGACGAGATTCTGGTTCTGGTCTGGTTGGACCCAGGGCATGAAATCGAGCAGATTTGACCTTTCCTAGATCAGGAAGAGCAGGCTCAGTTGTTTGGGATTCAACCACCATAGAATCAGGAACAGCGTGAGGATGCGGATGTGAAGACACTGACGACACGACAAGTCCTCCAGGTAAAATTGCACTGCCTAGACTTGTGACCACTGCAGAATTGATGGCACTCACTACACTTGCAGGTCCTGGATATTTAGGAGGGATGTTCTCATAAATGGGCTCCTGCCTCTGATTTTGAATTGGATATGGTGGAGGAGGTCTGTTGGCTTTGGTCTCATTCACTTGATAGATAGAATTGAGTTCTTCCATGCTCAGTCCTGGCACAGGAGGTGATTGGGGAACAGCCAGGTTCTCATATGTTCGATGGACTTCTCCAGAGACATTTACCACTCCGTGTGGTCGATTTGAGAGTAAGTCTGGTGTGGACCCACTTACCTGTCAGAAGAAAACAATGAGTAAAATTAGCATTCATCCAATATTTGAGATGCATAATGCCATATTCATCATGAAGCCAGGTACTATCATTTGCAAATGTATAAGACAATGCAGTCTCTTTTAAATGGTAAACTTCATCCTGGAACACATTAGCCCAGACACTGTGACCTTCATTTTGTTTACATATGTGTCAATGAAAGGAAGGGGACTTACATAAATAACAATGGAAGACCGAAACATGGTGATGCAAGCAGCAAGTAACTGATGGTTGCAACAAGAGAGAGAGAGTACGATGTACTGTATGACTGGATGAGATTTTAAAATCACAGTCATGGAGTCTCAATGTGAAGGGAATGCAAGCATGCATGCATGCCTGAATCATAATTTCCTGTTCCGACAAACCAGGAAGGGAGGAGGACACACGCCATCCTGATCCCAGCCTTCCATGTGTTTTTTCTGCTCCCTCAAGCATGACTCATAATTGAGACAAAAGGTTCAATCCCCATCACTCTCCACCCCTCCCTTCATCCCCTTTTCACATACTATACAACAACGTGCCAAGGGGAACTCTGCATCACAACAGGCATTCTCTGCCTCTCTTACTGTCACTATCTGTTTCTGTCATTCATTTTCCTTAGCATGATTAGCAATGCATATCACCACTTCCAGGTGGTCAGAATCCATGACATACAGGTCAAGGTCAGAGATAAAAGCACATAAAGAGATCTGATCCCTCCCATTATGCAATAAAGACTCACCTGGGAAGACTGAATTCCCTGGCTGGCCAAATCTGGAGAACTTGTGCTTTGGGGTTTATGATAAGGATATGGAGGAGGGGGTTTATAGAGATGGAGGAACTGAAGCTCCTGATGAAGAGCTGCAGCTGGATCTCCTTGATCACCAGGAACAGGGACATTTAATTCAGGAGTGCTGTAGGTCAAATGATTTCCTCCTGCATCAATAAGGGGAATCATATCTCCAGCACCACCATATCCTTGATGGCCACGATATGTAAGCACATGTCCTCCAACACCTCCTCCTTGCGGCAGGACCTAGTTATTGCGAAAAAAAAGTATTAAGTTTTCTATGGATTTCCTGCCATGCAGATTGTAAAGACTAGTCCATGGATTCATTGGAGGCAGGCATAAAGGAGTTTTTTTCCTAGGAATCTCACAAGGTGAATGCCTCAAATGAGACTGAGATGAAGAAGAACTGACTTGATGTGCTAGATCTGGTTGACTGCTGTAAGTGATAGGTGGTGGAAGATGCTGAATGTGATTCTGGTTGGGGAAGTTTGCAGCAGGAGCATCAGGCTTCTGGATATTGCCAAGGCTTGCACTTCCAACAGGACTTAACCCATATTTCACACGTAAAGCTGTCTCATAGTCAGGGGCTGGCCGGTATGCAGGCAGGAGGGATCTGGTCATTGGGAGCAAAGATCGACAGCTGGAGTATTTCACATATTTCACATCAGGAAAAAGTTATTAAACTACTGAGAAACTTTAAAATCTTTTGCCATGTCTGAGAATACACCAATATCATTGTCAAGCTAGCAACTTAATCCCAGCAACCAGCTGCAACAGATCATGAAGTCATTTAGGGTAAACCTTTCCATTTTTCTCTCCTTCCAATACTACCTACATTGAAAGTGGAAGTACAACAGAGCAATACACAAAACAAGTAGCTGCAGGCCAAAACTCAGTGGACTGTCTATATTGCAGGAGCAGAAAGTGTTATACCAATATAAGTATAAAAAATGTTCAGGATTTTTCTATTCAGTTTTCTTACAATCCTACCAATTTCTGTAGTTAAGTTACAGAATACCAATATTGTTGAAATCCACATTAAATGCTGACTTGTGGCAGCCCTGTAATATGGAGAATTTTAATTATTGGTTATATTTAAAAAACACTGATTATTCTCCTGCAATTTTGACAGCAATGTGACAGTGAATTTTGACAGCAGTAACAATTTTGCATTGGACATCCACTCACTTGAGTTGCATGTAATCAAGCTGAGGATGGTCTGGCAAACTAGACAGGGAGGATGACTGATGAATCTGAGCTGCTAGAGTTGAAGGAGGAAGAGAATAGGGTTCATGCTGCTGCAAATGAGGAGCAGGCCTAATAGCAGATGAATATGCAGGTATGGCAGCAGAATTAATCAGTGATGAAGCTTGTGATGTCAGCAAATTCCCAGGCAACTGCTGGGGCTGCTGAGGCTGTGCAGGCTGCTGCTGTTGATGAATTAGCTGCTGTTGTTGATGGCTACCAACAAATTCTCCAATTCCTCCCAGCTGATGTGTCACAAGGTCTGGATGCTAGAGATCCATCATCCCAAAGGCAAGCATTATTGCAGAGTTTAAGGAAAACAGAAGAGACTCTGAATACGATGTCTACCTGTTGAGTGAAGTGAGGATCATCATAAGCTGCTAGATTGTGAGATATCCCTGAATATGGAACTGTGGGATGAGAATGCTGCAATATGACTTGAGCCTGAATTCCATGAGCCATCCTCTTTGCCTCCATATGCAAAGGCTGTTGCTGCTGTTGTTGGTGTGTGATGCTGACAGGGATATTATAATTTGCACTGATATGAGACACTGGAACATGTCCAGGTCCTGTTACATGATGAGTCTTTGGATGAGTTGAGCCTCGTTCCAACCCAGCATGAACATCTGGCAATGTCCCTGTCCCACTGTCACTCTGTAACATGACCATTTTCTCAAGTCAGTCAATCTAGGAATTGAATAAATACCAAGTTGCAGGGGGCAAAGAGGAAGCTTCAACTGCTTCCCCACACCTTGAAGGTATTAAAATTAACACATACACTCACTTCATGAAGTGGTTGGGCGGAAGTCTGAATATCAGGGGCAGGAAGTTGGTTTGTTTCTTCCTCTTCATCTCCATCAGGAATGCCCAATACGACCTGTTGCCTCTTGAAGAACATGTGCTGAACCACACATTGTTTCCATACATACTTGGCCAAATCGTGGTCATCCAACGTGAATTGAACAGTGTCCTCATCTCGTTGGCACTCAATGGAAAAGGTTCGCTTGTGATTCACCAGATTACTAATATCACTCCACCTGCATACATCGAGGATTGTGAGGAAAAATCATCTAGAACCATTAAAATACACCTACCCCAGATTTTGCACATACCTGTAGTAGTTGACATTAGGTGGGATATACGAACGGACAACGATTCCCAGAAGTGAGGATCCAACATAGGCGTCCCGATTGTGTTCATCCTATGAAAGAATCTCATGATACTGAATGAGGCAAAAATAATAATAATATTGCTCTTCGAAATTCTTTAGTGCTTTCGAATCAACCTCTAAACTTCCCCCACCATTTACCAGGAAATTATTGCACAATTAATGTCTTGTCCCATCCCTTCTCAAAATAACATGCTTTGATCACCACTTCATCTTCGCCAATGCAGATGGGAGTTACTGGCACGAAATTGGTGCGGGCTGTGCATCAACCACTTTCCTGTCAATACATTCCTCGCGGAAAAAAACTTCATTTGTAAAATCACTCGTGAGGTAAAATGGCCAGAGAGAAACGAATATTCGAAAGATATTTATTATTTTTTAAATAAATCGTTGATTGAACTGCAGTTTCGTAAACGTTGCAGAGTTTCAAAGGGCAACACGCTTCTTATGTCTTGGTATGCTTATGTAGCTTGCAATCAAGATGTCAAATAAAAGAGGCTGCTTAGTAAATAGTTAAGGAATAGCGTTTACTAGAACATTGTGAGAGAAAAAGACCTTGGCTTGGAAGAAATCCACACCATAGCCATCAAGCTTTTGTGCTTCCAAGATGTAGTAGACCTCAGCCAGCGTAGGTGACACACTCTGAAGAGCCATGTGATGACGGATGACCAACTCTATCAACGTATGCAACTCTCCCTGATTCTGGACCATATGCTATAAGAAAACCACAATCAACTGTCATTGTTTCACCCACTGCATTGCAATATTGCATCGGAATACAGCATTGTCAGGACCGGATTAACCCATGAGGGTCTAAGGCTATAGCCTTAGACCCTCATATTTTTAGACTCTACTTTAGGCCCTCCATTCCAAATTTTTTAAAATGTAATTCATACTTAGACCCTTCCCTCCCATTAGCCTTAGGCCCCTCATAACCTTAATCCGGCCCTAAGAATCGTGTGATCTGCATACCTTCGGAAGAAGCGTGAATTCTCGTAGGTACTCGATGGTGTGTCTCTCAGGATCGTGATCTCCAAACTCGGCTGGAATGCAGCAATAATTTTTTTCCTTCATTTATGTTTCGTTTGAAAAAGAAATAACAATGATGGGGAAGAACTGTAGACGTGACTGACCTTGGAGACTGTAGGCTGCAAGATTGATTGCCTGTTCCAGGTTACAGGCCAGTTTCCCCTCCAATACGTCTTGCTTCAACTGCAGAAAGTACTGGTACCTGGAAGTATACATTACAGAATGAAAAACTATTTCAACACTTCCAAAAAAGGGAATCAGGATTACGAGTAGAAAGTGAGACTTTCACTTTACCTGGTTATTTCACAGTGGAGGAGGTGTACATCTGTTATGTAGAACATGACACCCAAAAACAGTTTCTGTTCCTGTCCATATTTCTCCAATTGCCTCTTCACCGGCTTGTCGAGCTCCAGCCATCTGATTCGGGGTTGCCTCTTCCCGGACTCGAAACGAAGGCCAAAGAACTCAGGCTGTGGAGGGAAGAGAGCATGACTGAGAGGAATTATCTGGATTTGCATTGAAAGGACTTCGAGAGACTAGGATTGTACCTGCTGGAGCCCAAGTCGCTGACATATATTTTCGAGGCAATCTCTCCCTGTACTATCTGCAGTGAGAGTGCAGTCAATCCCACTGTTGTCCAACAATTCAACATTGATCACATAGAGAGACTTCGTCGAAACGTTGTATTGCCGACTCTTTTTCAGCAGGAACTTGAATGGCATGCTGCAATGAATGGAGTAAATTATTTGCATGAGCGGAGAAAAGTAGCAAATGAAAAAAGTAGATCTACATGAAAGAAGGACGACTAACCTGCGTTCAATCATGAAGGCATCTTCTCACACAAAAACCCTTGAACAAATAGACACCAAGGGTAACCAAAGGGAAGAATTAAAACAAAACCAATATGGGACAAGAAACAACCTGAAAATAGAACGGAAAACGGGGTTGCCGTTATTGCTTGGGTTATCACGAACGCATGAAAAATCTCAGCGTTGAACACTCCAAGTGTTAGGCCATAGAACACGATCGGTTGTGGGAAAGAAATGTGACACATCCACCCCTACTTCCTTCCTGAGAGAACTTGAAAATCCCAAGGAAGCTCCATAAATGCCCCTCAGTTCCACCCTCTCCCCTGTTGCGCTCAGCAGGAAAGGGGGAGAAAAATGTTTCGACTACTTCCTCACAAACGAATTACAGACTAGAGACGTTTCAACAATCTCTTTCCCTCTCTCAGGGTCATACGTGCCATTCTCTCACCAGTACGGCCACCTGGAAGTAACGGGCCACGATCGCCTGCCGAAGGGGAGGGAAGGAAAAAAAACTAAGAACGGGATGGGCCTAGACGGGGAAACAACCCCGCGAATGTGGGAAAAGAAAAGGGGGGGGGGGGAGGAGGAATGACGAGGAACCTTCGTCACGCACCCGAAGCTCCCCTCTTAACATTATGGATACACCGTGTATACACGAGAATAAGCAGTGAGGCCAATATCACATCCGGTTGGGCAGGGTGGGGCGGCAGGTTCAGCGGATATGGAGAAAGACGCATATGAGAACCTTGGGGAGAAAAAGGAACACCCGGTCCGCTCTTTCATCACTGAATTCTACGAGAAATATCCGCCAGACGAGGAGTTCACCAGTTCAGAGGTCACTGGGTTATCGCATGCCCCGTGAAACGGGAAAAAAACACCCACACACATCAATCACCATCGATAGTGTACGTTTCTTTCCGTCTTCTCACCACGTGCCGAATCCAGGTGACACACTCCAATAACTCCATTATAATAGGAGAGAAAAGTGTCAATAGTTCACGGTGTTGAATGCCTGGCATTCCTCTGATGGAGCAATCTTCACACTCTGGCATGCCACATTACACTTTCACTTGAGGAGAATCGGGACGAAGTTCGCAGCACATTAACCTCTCCAAGAGAACGAGGCGGAGCGTTTGAGACCTGGACCTTCTTCCGGCTTTGATGACGAGAGCGCGTGCGAATGTGAGAGGCGAATGTGGGATGACGTCAACATAACACGAGCAATATGAATCATGCCGGTATCACGTATCCTCGACCTTAATCAAAGGAGAACGATTGCCATCATCATCGAGACGTGGGAAAAAGAGGTGGAGGGAGACATGGGGAAGGGTTTTGGGAAAGGTCAAGAACTCTCGAGTGTCATCGGCCGTGAACGGAACATTGTACCGGACTTGCGTGCCCAAGGCCGTGTATCGGTAGGAGATCCGGGCACAAAATCGTGCGAAAACAAAACAGGGTTTCCTTCACGTTCTCCTCTCTTCCGTTCGAGAAAAAGAGACGACGACTCCCTCTTTCGACTAAGTCACTTTCACCAACGAGAACAAAAAAAAGAATAAGCCGCCTCCACACTCATACAGGGGGACCGGAATGAGATGCAGAACAAAGGAAGGAGAGGAAACCGGAGGGGCGTGCATAAGCGGTAGGCTATGGTTCACAATGCGTCCACAATCCCCATCCACCCATTAAAAGCGAAACCACGGAAGGAAGTCTGGGTGGCTCGTGACCACGGACTCAAAACCAGAGACTCGCAACACAAATGGTGTTGACCAATTCTTCCCTTCACGGCACACACGTACACCCCCGCCCTCTGACGCAAAGAGGAAAACACGATGAATACGTGTGTGGGCCGCGATTAAATCACGTTCGATTTATGTACACTTGCATGGTATCCGTTCCCGATAAGGAGGAGAGCACGTGAGAAATCCGCTCGGGTGAGCAAAGATAATTGGGGGACATTGAATGTCACCCTTAGAAGGAAGAGAGGAAGGGAGGAGGCAGCCAGTGTAGCGTGAAGCAATCTTACTCTCACAATGGGAATCTCAAAGTCGTGACTCAAGAAAGAGAGACCTTGGCGGGAAAGGCACACCACACCGAAAATAGCTCGCACACACATCGACCAAGCCGAATGAATATAATCCGCATTGTCCCAGTCACTTCCCGGAACATCCCTCCCAGACCAACCCACATCGGCCGTGTACCTCACGTGAAATGAAGCTAGACAAGCAGGTAGGCAGAAGCCAAAAACCCTGATGCGCTTCCTGTTCTCCGACTTGAAACCCTTCCAAGTCAGCAGAGAAGGGATTCTCTTCTTACATGAGCATTGCAGAGAATCATTCATCATATCAGTTGCCCAGATGACCACACCCTTGCCTAGGCTGTCAGCTGTTAGATTCATTAAGATCAGCCCCGTTTCCATGATGGATAAGAGGGACCGCCCATGACCGATTACCAACCCAAATCTATCAACATTCCAGCCATACCTCACACTGAGGATAGGGGGGGCCATCCTACAAACCCTTCTTCCTGTAATTAGCATACAGCCCACTTTCACCGTCATTCATGTTTCATAATCAGCTGCACGATGACTATTAACTCATCGTTCATCATGCAATTAAAAATTGCATCGTATCTCATCCAATGGGATGGGCGTCAATAATCAAATGAAAGCCCAGGTGTTGCTGCAGTCAAGTGGATCATAGCCTTTGACCCCTCCATGCTTTTATTGTATTCTGATCCCCAACATTCTGAATTCTTTTGTTTAAAAAAAAATATATAAAAAAAGGAAGAATATGCATCACGAGGCAACCATTGGCAACCATAGATGGCCTTGATCTGCATGCAGTAGATAAAACCTATGAACCAGACACTACAAAATTAATCAATTGCAGAATGTATCTCTTAACAAGGATGAGGCAATGTGGTTAAATCAATAATGGTGGGTTTTAGACAGCATAACATGAGGTATTATGTACACAGTTGCTTGCTTCCCAGCATCTTCTTTGCATTATTTTATCATATGTAAACCTGCAACTTGGTACAGCTGCTTCAAAATACATTATAAATAAAGTATAAAGATGTTTCAATCATGCTTTAAAGAAGCAGTGTCTTGCTCATCATCGCAATCAGTGCAAGTTAAAAAGTTGGAATATATAGTCTCTGGGTGATAAAGCTCTTTCCTGTCAAATAACCTTCAAAATGATACAAACTCAATAATTTTAGAATAAACAATACTATCACATATTTACTTTAACATGTCAGAATAAGCTGCCACTTCCTTTCAGTTCCTAAATGTAAAGGTTTATATTGAGCACATTCTCCCCACTCCAAAGACATTAGAATCTAATTGCCAGTCTCTAGACTTTCAATAATGAGCACACTTTCTAGGAAGGAGAAAAATGCTTGTTGAAGCCAGTGGATATATTGAATTCTTCATGGAAAAAGCTTTTAATCCAGCAATCCTGCCTGCATCAGTCACATGTAAGCCTATTCACTCAATGCAAATTGACATACATGCAAGGATGCAGGACATGAAATCAATCTAGTGCAGAACTTGAAAGCATAAACCACATAAATTGCAAGCCAGTGGGTTAGATGTCATGTTGAAAAACGAGTATGGAGAAAATTTTGGGCAAATAATTTTTCAAACGAGGACAAAAAAATCTGCTATTTGAAAGTATTTTCCCTAGGAGTTTCTGGGGCTAAAAGTATGCTACAGGGTCATAATTCCTTTTAGTCACACTTTCTAGTCAACCCAACTGGGTACTCTAGGACAAACCAGGAGGTGCTTTGAAATGCCCTATAAATCAAGTCTGTATTCCCTTTTATGTTCCTTCATGTTACATGATCCCTATCTCTCTGTTGCACAGAGGGTTTTGTTCTTCATATTACAGAGAATAAAGACTTGTTCAATTCAAAAAAAGTTTCAATTCAATTCAACAGAGGGAATGGTCACCAAGGAATGAGTATGACATTGAATGATGGTTACAGAGAAAGTAAAGCAAGTAAGCATGTGTCAGAATGAAGGATTCATTCAGCTTATCTGATCTAAATATGGCCTGGATATCTAAATTGGGGTATAACCTAAGAGCACATCCAGCTTTCTCATTCATTCTTTCCTTCAAAGATGCAAAGCATATAAATCAGGACTTGATCTATTGCCACAAAAGCAGTATGTCAAAGAAAACACCATCTTCTCCTGGAAGACACCTTGATAAGAAACTGGCTGGATCCACTTATATTTTCCACTCCATTCCATCTTATCACCAATGGGATTGCCCCAATTCTAGATTCAGCTGGATTTCCACCACTTGAGGCAGTACATATGACAAAAGAAAAACCATTACGTGTTAAAATCAGTTACTGCAGTAGATTTACAGAATTGCTGGACTTGATCAAACAAGCCAAGCCAAGGAGTGTACATTATTCATCTGCTCCAGCTCACTAGAAAGTTACCTGATCACACAATCTGGACTTTGCAGAGCTTAGTTATAGGTATTACATTTACCATATTCCTGGCAATTTCACATACTAGGGAAATATTTGGAGTGAGAAAAATAAAATTCGTAATAAGGCCATACCAGCTCAAGTGGATCAGTGGCCATGTGAAGTTTTTATATGGCCTCTGGTCCACCTGGCACCCTGAAAGCAGTTTTCGAATGAAAAAATAAAGCTGGAAAGCATATGTGCCTGCCTTGAACCATCTGGAATTATTATCTAGGTCACACTAATAATGTGGGGGCAGTGATAGTGTCTCTAACCTGGATCCAGACGTCAACTTAGAAATGCTCCAGTGCAATAATTATCGCAGCACATTTCTGAACTCCCTGAAAAAAGGTTAAATTTCAAATGTGATTCTGTAACCATAAATATTATTGAAATATATGGGGTCAAACTGAATTTAATATAGAAGTGAGCACAAGCGATAAACATAATATTTAAGCTGAAATCACGATGATGCCAAACTTTCCGTGAATTTCCTGAGACAAAAAGTTAAACGTTTTTAAATTTCAAATTTCAAATGTAAAAATATATATATATATATATATATATATATATATATATATATATATATATACATTTTTATGTTGATGAAGAGGCACGCAAAATATGAAGATTTCAGGTTGACCACATG